CATGTCAGTCTCCATGGTGACAGCCTGAATGATCTGCATGCTGATGTCCTACATTTTCATTGTAGTGACGGAGCTGTGGCCGTGGTTTGCTGAGGTATTGGCATCTTATTTCCAGAAATCCTCCGGTACTTTCTAAGAATTGTATTTAAAGTAGGTTGTATTTCCAGTCAAGATAATTGAATAGCTTGAAACTTTGTGCAGACATTAATGATCCCTATAGAGAATGAATCGTACTGATTTAAGTGAGCCCTGACTTTTTCCTCTACCACCACCACAAGGTGGACATTTTTTAAATCTTCATAGTAAAAACAGCTGCCTGATTTGATTGACATTACATGTGGCACAGATAACCAAGGTTCAAGAACATTATTTTTATTGAAGAATGGGGATTGGACAAGGTAAACAAACCTTGAGAAGATCCCTGCCCACTGAATTTTCTGGGTATCCTGCCAGATATGCTGGACCAAACGCAACAGGGAATAAGGCGGACCCCCTGACCTCAGAAACTGTTTCAGTGACTTGGCTCCATCGTGGCATCCTGGATCAAGCTATTTGGACTTTACAGGCGGATTGTAACGCTTGTTATGTTAGATACTTTGCAAAGGCCACAGGTGGGCAGGGCTGTAGCCATTTTGTAAAATGGCACCTTCTTCATAAATAGTTTCTAAGGCTGTTATCAGCACGAGAGAGATACTTTGTCCTTCTCCCATAAGAGAGAGAGAGAGAGAGAGAGAGAGAGAGAGAGAGAGAGAGAGAGAGAGAGAGAGAGAGAGAGAGAGAGAGAGAGAGAGAGAGTGAGTGAGAGATAGAGAGAGAGGCTGAGCGATACTAAATCAAGAGAATAGGGCGCCTTGGATGACGGGTGATGCTGAGCTCCCATCATGGAGTAACAGTAATGAAGCATTTTCCCTGAGACTGCTGTAGCATCAGGGGTTGGTGGAGCCCTTGGGATTGCAATAAAGACTCTATGTTCCCAGCAAAACTTGCCACACTACGATCACATGCAATTGGAGCTAGAATGGAAAATGTAATGCAGAAGTGGAATAGATATTATTACTTCTACATTTCGGCTGCTGCTTGTGCCTAAACAAATGGCAAGTAGACCTAATAAATCAGCGGGGAAGCAATTATTTCAATTACGACTCCGTATTGGAGAGTCATTAACAAATTAAATCATATTGAGGATGCACATCATCGGTTAACAACTCTCACAGGGTTTATTATCTTGTTCAATCGTTCTGCATATCAGAGCTGAAGGTGAGCCCCTCATCAAAAGGAATTAGCTGTATTGACAAGCATCTGTAATGACCAGCAACATTAGAGGGTGTCTTTGTGTGTGACAAATAAAAGGTTGAAAGAAGAAAAACCCAAGAAACACACAAGCTGAATTAAGGACCAGGAATGGCTGCCACAAGCCAAAGGTGCTGTCCAAATCCATTATAGCCTGCTGTTGCCATGGTAGCAGCCCACCTAAAATAATTTTATCACCATCCGCTCTCCCTCTCGTGTTACCACGAGGCACACAATGCCAGCTGGCAATGTCTCTGTAACTATCTTTTTTAGTGTGATGACAGCTGTCAGTACCTCAAGTCTTCATTGGATCGGATCAGGGAATGAAACTCCATCCTGCTTGTGCGCTCAAGCAGTTACCATCAAAAACATCTATCATTGTAACGTCGGAGTCGATTACACATGATGCAAACACAGCATAATTCATGTTACGCTCTGATACCTTGTGCCAAACCAGTGCCTCTTTTGATCAGAGGTTGTGTCGTAGAGAGGTGGGATGCTGTTGTTCTTTCCTATTCTTGGAAAGTAATCTCAAACAGGAAACACAGTGAGCAAAAGCCCATTAGTGATTCCGTTTACCCAATCCCATGAGTCAGAAAACTAAATTAATTAACTTGAAGCAAACTAATGATTCTCCATTATCCTCCCTCTGTTGTGGTCTGCTGCAATGAGCTCACTAACCTTGGACAGCCATTACACTTTTGACCTCAGGTCCCTGTTGCTCAACCAATCCCATATCATGATGCGCTGAGTTCTGGGAACATCATTATAAAAAAAATACTCTGTGACTAATGCATCTGGTGAGGTGCAGAAGGTAGAAAACGTTCAAATCAAGGCCTGAAGATACTGCGCCAACTTTCCAAAGTTTGGTCCAGTTTTTAAACTTTTGAAACTGCACTGTAAGTAACTCTGTCAGGTGCCCATGCTGAAACGATAGCCTAGTATTTAAGAACGTCGAATAAAGTTTGTAGCAATCCCAAATTCAGGAGGAAAAACTTCCCCTGCTTGGTCATAAATTGAGACTACAGAGTAACACCTTCTCAAAACAACAATTGACTTTAACCTAACCCATAATTTAGCATTTATAAACACTGTTCAGACATTTAATCATGGTATATACCACTATATAGTTAAAGCACATATAAGTATATTTTTTGAATGTTTATTGGTTGATATGTCCTGAAGACATATTTTTTTATAATTTCAATTGTGTTTTACAATTTTCTCTATGATTACTAATCAATAAATCTATTCAAATGTAACTAACCATTCAGTCATAGAGCTGCATCTAAGGTCTGGTGTTCTCAATTAATGGTGATTAGGTTCAAGAGATAGTTGAGTTATGAATTGTCTCAAAAAGTTGGTTGTGCAAAAAAAGTAGAAAAAGTAAACATAATATTGTGTATTTTTATATTTTCCTGCATGATGCTGTCTTATTAATGGAGAAGTTTGTGTCCTGATACCTGATACTAAGAAACTCCAGTTTTACTCACTCCCTCACACACCCACAGACTGTGAGCTTGCACGCTATAACACACATCTTCTCCTCCCTCTCAATTTACTGTTGCAGCGCTTTGTCACAAACAGCAAAGTGCTATTATGGGCATATTTATGTGACACATTATATACTGTAGATGTTAATGTGAAGCCTTTGTCATTGAACAGGATAAGTATAGAACCATACTGTACATTCTCATGTGTCTTTGTAGTGACAGTTTGACAAGATGTGTCTAAGCGGCTTGGCATATATTAGCATACCCTGCACCTCATCACCAAGCTGTCACTCTCGGCTGGACAGGACTTGGGCTGAAGTGTTACATTCGCGAGACTCGAGGGCAACAGAGGAGGAGAGACAACCTTTCCTAACATTCTCCTGTTCCCTACCCCTCATCGCTTCATACTTTTCGGATCAATTAATCTCTTCCTGGCTTTAAATTAATGACACTATCTATTATTCACAGGCAAAGCTGGCTTCATCTCGCGCAGACCTTATAAATGAAGTCTAATAATTACCATGCATTAGCATAGATTAGCCAAGGCAAGGTCAATCGTTATCTATTTCATCTTTCTTTAGGATTTATTGAGACTCCCATTACTAAAGGAGTTGGGGACTGTGGCAAGGCCCTGGTGACTTTTATATTCTTCTCCCAATTGAGTCCCATGATCGGATTATGAGGAAAGAAACAAGTAAAGCAAAAACTTTGTAAACGTTGTTTGATGATCGTGTCGAGTTGCTTCCTGCAGCTATATCTCGTCTGCGGGGAGGATCAAAATGGAAGATGGAAATTTGGGGCTGATCCACTTATAAAACTAAGCTGCCTTTTTTTCAGTGTTGAAAGGGCTGATTCAGTCTGTAAGGTGGTGTAAAAGGTTAAGCAGTACAGTTTAAGGGAATTATGAATGAGCTTTCTAAATGTTGTTGACATTACTTCTCTCTGGGGTGACATTTGCAATCACTGACTTATTAGAGTGAGCCGTTCTGGATATGATTGTTGCTGTAATAAAAGCACCTCTGATGCTGTGGATCAAAGTTAGTCATGATACAAATGTTAGATTACTTTATCATTCCTCCAGTCATTTTGAATGGCAAAGCATCACAAACTTACAGGACAATTGTATAGGATACACCCATGTAAAGTAAAAAAAAAGCACTTCTGTTTGGCAAGTAGATAAAAACATCTTACCTTCTTTTTACATTTTTCGTTTTTTTTATTACGCGAGCAGCATGTCTCTCACTTTGGTCAGCAATGAAGTATCTCAATAATTGCTCGGTTGATTGCCATACAGTATAAACCATTCATGTTTCCGAGAGGATGAATCCTGATCGCTACTGTTCCCCTCCTTCTGCAGGTTGACGTGTTTAGTTTCTAAAATGTTGTTGGATTGCCATAAAATAACCATGCCCATGTGACCTTATCTTTGGCACCACTTATTCTGTGAAACATCTCAACATGTACCTCCTGAATTCTTAGAAACTGTGTTGCCCACAACTCTGTTGTTCCCATAGCCTTTATCCATTAAGTCAAATTTGATCACAAATGAATAATAATGAATAAATGTCCACATACCTGAAAGAATGGCAATCCCATCATCAACCTTAGCTGTACTTTGTGTTTACTACTTACCAAATGTTAGCATGCAAGTAAAGACTCATAAAGCCACGGACATGGCAGTAGATTATTTTTCTAGTTTTGTTGTTGCAGTAAGATGGTTAGCTCACTTCATCAAGTAAAGTCATTTTAGCTATAAGGATTTCAAACTGTAGGATATTAACTGCATTTAGAAAACCCCTGTAGCATTTATTTTTGCACATAACCTTTCTTTTAATATTGTATGATTTTTTTGTAAGTGTCTTTACTTCCCACACAGTCTGTTGGTTCAGAAATAAGAGTACGAAGAGAGATGGAGGGGTTTCCAAAAAATATGTGCCTGCGTCAAAATGACAGATGGCACCATCTTCGCTAAGCATCAATATCACCTGATGGCTCAGCATCGACTGCTGATGTCTGTCAGCGTGTTAGCTTCACCGGGAACAATGCCAGCAGATTCAAGCGGAGAAAAGATGGACCTAAAACACCTTCTTGCACGATCAAGCATGTGCACAAAGCCACAGGTTTGTATTTATCCAACAATGTTTCCAGTGAATCATTCTTCACTTGACACTTAAGGTCAAGGGGAATGCATCTTCTGTCGACAGAGTAAAAATAAAGTGCATTATTAGAGAAACTTTAATAATAGCATATATCTTTACAAAAGGAGCATTGTGTACGTGGTTTACAACATGTCTAAATACATTTCTACATCAACCATTTATTAAAAATAACAGGCTTGAAAAGTCCTTCTCTGAACATTGTAGAAGTATACTCATAATAACAGAGTGTGTCTGAATGTCTCCTTACATTGGTACAGTTGATACAGTAAGCTAGCATTGTAATCGCAGTGTATGAACATTTGAACATGTACAGTATGGTGTTCACAGGACAAGTTCGTATTGTTTCATCTAAAGCATATTGATGTTATTCCATAAATCCCAGAAGTAATATAAGTTTACTGAAAACAGAGAGTGCTCTCTTTCTATTTCTCTCTCTTTGTCAAAAAGAAAACTACTAACTGACTTTAAATTCACATTTGATTTTTTTGATCAGTTCTCCTAATGTAGCTTACTTTCTTCAAAAATTGAAATAAAACAGTGAAAACTAAGCACACATTCTCAGAATAAGCAGAATAAATTGCATCTGTGCCTGCAGGTTAATACTTGATAGTCTCAGAGTAAAGTTGTTGGTGTATTAGTTGCCATGGAGACATTTGATTCACTGGACGAATTTATAGGTGTAGCTTAATACGTGACAACATTTGATTTCCAATTGAGACGTCCTTTCCCTACTCACGTTAGCATACATAAATCACAGAGTTCACTACAGATCTGTTCAGTGTTAAATTGATTCTGAATAAATACATTTACCAATTCTTCACATCTGCCCTGTTGACAGTATTACTTCTGATTGATAAGAAATACCTTTATAAGCTGTACTTTACTGTAAAAACAACTACACAAAATAATAAGGTGCAATAAGTTTAGTAGGCTACGTCATCTTGCGATTCAATTTGTGCTTTAAATTGTATTTCATTATCATCTGTAGATAATATCTAAACATGACTGAACAGACCATGACAATACAATTAGATTTCCTAATATTCCCTAGTGATTAATCCTGTAAGTATTTGACAATACGACCATTATCATAAAGTAATGATTCATTGTATATATAGAGTTAGCCATTTAGAGATGATGATGGGATTTTAAATGTGTTTTTTTCTTTGTTTCCTGTCAGTAAAAGTGTTTAGATACTATATACACTGATGATTATTGTCCACACCATCAACAAATTAGTCCTTAAATGAGCTCTGATGTCCTGGGCCTCGGGGCTGTCTGAATGAAAATAATCCCAGCACTTTTAAATGTTTCAACATTCAGTATCTCTGCTCAGCCGCATCATTTAACAGCACTGGCCTGAATTGCAAAGCAACTATCTGGAGGATGTTTAAGATGGCCTGGATCAACCTGAATCTTAAGCCCCATATCTCCATTCTCATCTCTGCATTTTAAATGAGGGTGCTGTCTGAGGAGAAACATGGGAACAAACTTAGGCAAAGAAAAAACCCACATTGCTTTGATTTTTTGTTCACAGGTTGATGTTTCTTGTTTTTAACTGAAGAGCTGTTGAACACAAAAGCTTCTTCTCAAGTTGTAGCATCCAAAATTGCTTGGTTGTGACGATTGCAGCCAAGTCCCATCTTTCTCTCTGAAAAAGAAATATAGTAGTGTATATGTCATTGTCTAGTATCACAATTTCCACACCCTCAGGGGCTTAAACTGATCCAAAAACCAAGTGCAGGGGCAGAGAGAAAAAGAGAAAGAGAGAGAGAGACATGAAGAGAGGCTCCGCTCAGGTGGTCCAGAGATCTGGAGAAAGCAGGATGTGTTTGTGTGCGTGTTTGTCTTTCTTAGCATATGTTCATCAGAAAGTGAAGGCATAGACAACGCCAACCACCACAATGTTTCCGATGGTGGCGATGATGGCGATCCACAACCAGATGGCATCGCTGGACATGGACTGCGACTCGTCCTGCTGGCCGTGTACCGAGGCGGCGGAGGCTGCGGCGTGCACGCTGGCCGAGGAGTTGAAGAGTGAATGCTCGCCACTGTAGTCGTCATTGGGCGAGGAGTCCATGAAGGCCCCCGTCATCACTGGGATCTAAGAAGGGATGAGGAAAAGTAGAAAAGTTCGAATACATTTCAATTTCGGCACTTTTAGTCAAGCTGCATTTGAAAAGATGCTATGTGGAGACATTTCAAATCTGGTGTTTATTTCAGGTGTTGCTTTATCCATCATTGGCTACTAAGGATGTGGCTATGACCTAATGTACACTGCAACCTTAGTTACATGTTACAGTTAAAATTGCACTTTTTACGTATTACTGATCCTACTTCCAATAATTTGTAATGATATTTGTAGGGGACATTATAATCTTTTTTTTTTTTTTAGTGCTTGTGTGCAGACATTTTGGTATTTGGACTGCCAAAGAACCCAAAAGAAAAAGACAACCCAGTCAGTGTTTTATAGGATGCCTGTCAGAAAACAACAAGCCATTCATATTTGGCTCCGCTTCCTACTGTATGTCAGGTACATCTTATTAGAATATATTGCTCCCTATCTCTTTTCCGACCCTCAAGAACTACCCTTGCAAAGGATGCTTTCTTTAAGCCAATCGGAGCACCCCAAAATACGAACCTGAAAATGGACAAAGTGTCTCCTTTAAAACGGACTTATTTGAGGCCAAAGAATATGTGTATTTATTTTTAGGTTATTGTTCAGTGTAGCATGTTGTAGCCTCACATACCCGCTTGCATAGTGATGATGTTTTCACAGTGTTGAATTGCTAAAAGATGAGAAGTCATTTAAACCCGATAAAAACAAACCACTTAACAGTCCTAGTGCAGGGAAGCAAATCTCGGCTTTTCCACCAATCATTGCACGCCAGATTGTTTGCCTATTGGTCACGCATTAGCAAGTGTGAGTGCTATATTAAAAGAAATGAGAGGTAGCAGCATCACGACATCATTAGCAAATGGCTACAAGGCGTGCAGGGTCCTACTCTAATCTCACACACCGCTGAGTGTGTGTTTGTATTTAGGGAGCAGTGCTTGATTAACATGGAATAAATATTTTAGATATGGAAGTGAAAATGATTTATTGCTTGGACAATCAGTTCTCTGTTAATGTTGGCCACTAAAGCAGAAAGCAACGAAATGCTTTCATGTGTTTGTGAGAAAGTATTATTTGTGATTGTGTGTGTGTGTGTGTGTGTGTGTGTCTTGAAAGCAGGGGATATGATTGTGAAATGCATGAGAGACCCGTACCACGCTCGACTAGAAAACAGACTCTGCTGAAGATGTTGAAAAACAATGCTAAAAATACCTCGGAGGAATGTCGAGCGCTCGCATACACAGGAACTCTCTCTTGCTTGCTCATTTGCTCACCTTCAGTCCTTCTCACACTCTCCCTCCCTCTCTCTCTCTCTCTCTCTCTCTCTCTCTCTCTCTCTCTCTCTCTCATGTACACACAGGCTAATGCACAAAGACAGTCTTTGTGAGGGGAAAACACTGTTTAGAAAGCATTCTGCTGCTCTACGTTCATTGGCCCCTGGTGGAGAATAAAGACATGACACAACCCGTGGAGCGCCTGCTGTTCACATGAGCATGATAGAGGCAGACAGGCATGCATGAAGTCCAGCAACCTGGGTCCCCCCCTCACACACACACACACGCACGCACGCACGCACGCACGCACGCACGCACGCACGCACGCACCCACGCACGCACGCACGCACGCACGCACGCACGCACGCACGCACGCACACACACACACACACACACACACACACACACACACCACTCAGTCACTGTGGATTCCTTCTGCTACAACATGTCATCAAGACCTTTCATACAACATTTCGTCTTCTGTTATGAAAAGATTCATATCAAAAGAGTAATATGTTCCTCTGGCATAGTGATTGAAAACCATGAACGTATTGAAAAGGACAATATTAGGATTTCTGTTGGATCTTCATAATTAAAATAGACATCACATCTATTTTTATGCTACTGGCCTATGAGAGCAGGTGTGGTTAACCATCCCACCTCCCCTACAAGTTACAGTACATCCCAACAGCTACTAATAAAACATTTCAAGACATACACAATGACAACAAACAAAGAAGAAAAACTAAAACATATAAAACAATAAATAATTTCACACACATACATCAGAGTTTTCTTTCAACATACATGCATTATCGAGACGGTTTGGACAACTATTGATAAGAAGCTATAACAAAACTACACGTAAATGAACAGAAATCTAAATATAATTGAAATGTTTTATAGATATATGTTCGAGTTGTACCATTTTAAAATACATAATAATCACCATACTTAGCTGTAGTGCTGCTGATACAGTCACCTTCAAACCAAACAATAATGGAAAAATAAAGTAATTGTCTTTGAAACTTTACCATGTATTAATAGCATTAAATATCAGACCAGAACAATAATATGTATATAGAAAGTTTCACCTCTATCATCAAATAGCTGCTGATTTATCTTATTTTTTAAAAATCCAACCACACTGTCAAAAACCTTATCCTTCATTCAAAGCCACATCCAGCCTAATCCAACGTTCAGTCGGACCATCACCGAAGCTCTCAGCCCTGTCTGCATTCTTCATATTTTTGTTTTATTTATAAGTAACTCATTGTCTACAGGCGTGAGCTGTTTGCATAAATGGGTAAGTGTACCGGATAAAATGAAGTGGATACTGGGAGTGTGCGCAAACATATCCCGTCAGTAAGCCTGATTTTTAAATATTTGATTGCTGACTATTTTTGGAGATGGTGTGCCTATATATATATATGCAGTAGATTTAGAAAGCCGTTTCGATTACTTGTCACTAGTATATCATAATTCTTCAAGGGACCTGCTCCTCCATCCATCTATTTCATCCAAGCCCACAACTCCCATGTGGATCATGCATGGAGGTTAGCACAGCAAGCGGTTAAGCATTAATGGAAACGAGGGAAATAGAGACCCAGAGAAGGAGCATCCTAAAGCATCTGAGCACTTAATGCGGGGAATGAAGGTCATGCCCCAAGCATTACTGCCAGGAAACCATTCCTTGTTAAGATATAAGGATGCTTTGAGTAATAAAGTTCAACTACACTGACCAACATTTCCTGGAAACCATACACACTCACTTCTCCAGCATAACATTAAACCAATGGCAGAATGGCTTTAACAAGTACATCCCCACAGAACGCTAAGTGTGTTGGGACAGAGCTTCCTGAACACACAGCTGAAATACTCCACAAGTATTCCCCTGGCAAAGGGAAAGTGGTTTTATTTCACGTCTTATGAAGTAGTCTTTCCTTTAACCTTTAGATTAAAACTAAGTGAACTGATTCACACTCAAACTGTGTGAAAATGTGTGTCTTGGTTATTCTACAATACATTTCTTCTCTAGTGTGCAAACCCTCGAAGATATCACTTTGGCTTCAAGAGTGTTACTCTTCAGCATTACGTATGATACAAGATGCAGCAAATGTAAACCTCAGGAGAATGTGTTCAAACAAATAATGTTAACTTGTTTAGTTTTATTAAAGGTCCCATGTCATGCTTTTCCGGTTATTGCCCGTCCCCTTGTGTGTTATGAAGGTTTTTATGCATGTAAACGGTGTGCAGAGTCACAAACCCTCAAAGTACACCCTGTAGCGAGTAAAACTCTAACACAGAAAATACCTCCCCAAAACGCCTCGTTGGAGATACGTCATTGTCCATTTGATTCTTCCATTTAGTTCCGGGTACGGCATGATGTCAAGCCGTACCCGGAACGAAATGGACCAATCCACGGACTTCCTCACACACACATCTGTGTGCACGGAGCAGGCAGCTCAGCTGATTTCTCCTCCCTGGCTGCAGGCTGATAACAGACAGTTGGGATCGCGGCGAAATTCTCTCTGCAGACCCATTCTCACAGCGTTTATCAACCTTTTTCTTACTCAATATCAAGCCACACTTATTGTTTTTACTTTGACTGTGAGTTTGTGTGTGCTCAGGATGAGTTTGGCTGTGTTTGGCTGTGTATCGCTAACAAGGAAACAACACCTCCACGGAGCTCAGCGCGATTCACAACGTCCCGACCAATCAGAGCACACTGTGCTCACAGGGAGGGTGGGGGCTGGAGCTATTGGAGCTACAACGAGCCGTTAAAGGCAGAGAGTGAAATTCAGTGAATACACGTAGTTTACAGAGATGCTGTATGAGAAACCAATGTGAGTTTGGAAAATTGCACAATATAAATCTATTCTAGTATACCTCAACAATGGAATTATGATCAGTGGAAATGGCCATGACATGGGCCCTTTAAAACGCAACAGGTAAAAAAAGAGGAGAGACAGAATTGAGATAAGAACAAACATTTTAGATGTCCCAAATGTTGTCTTTTGATGTCCTCTCATTTAAAACAGACCATTCTAGCTTATTTTGATCACTTTATCTTAATTAGTATGGTAGTCTGGTTATGTTAGAATGATTGGTAATAGAGATACCTTATTATATATAGGCCCCATTTACCTTTGCCATTTTAAGGATTACATTTCCTGATAAAATCCAGATGATGTTATATGCACTTTCATCACGCTCAGACACATGTATATGAGTCTCTGTTGACCAGACCACACCTCTAATGACAATCTTCCTTGGTTTTCATGAGCGACATGCAAATGAGGGTTGTCGGCTGGATGTAATGAACCTGTTTGTTCACTGCTAAAAACAATAGCTTTTCTGATCCACCCAAGAAGAATAAAGTGACTGAGTGAAAATGTGTGAATGTCATGTAATTATATAAGCATTTTTTGTAAACATTTGTTGTAACCTTGTATAGACTCTGTAAAAGAAAAGGGTAAAATGAGCATCAAGACTGCTTTCCGAGAGCTTCGGAGCAGAGCTTGTGTGTCGTCATTGAGAAAAAAAAAACTCCCCCCATTAACCAACAAGAGAAAATCTCCTGACTTGCATATTTCACACCTCCTTGGTTCTGAGTGATGACTACACCTGTGCAATATTACACACAGGAAAACCCCAATCTATGGTAGACGATACAGTGAAGCTCCATTTGCTGTATAATTCCACCTGCTCTGC